GTTTTTAAGCTCATATCTCCAGCACTGGAGAAAAACATTAGCTAAATTACCTGAACGGCGTGCTGTAATGCAGGTTTGACAGCACTCATCAATGAATCCTGAGCCAAAACCTCAAAAATGGATGGCCTGTCTTCAGCTGCAGCTGTGGTCAGATGTGCTCCCCTCTCCGCCATTCTGCAGGATTCAGTCAATTCACTCACCTACCAAACAAACCCCTAATAAGAGGAAACTTTTAAGTAGCTACGAGGACACTTCAAAATATAAAGTATTATCTTTTCACCATTCAGTGCATAAAATGCACAGAACGACGCACAAACATGTCAGCAGCGTCTCGGCATGTTTTCATCTGTTCTATCCCGCACTCTTGCGGTGCAACCTTACAGCCGTTCCGTGTTTTCCAAACGTTCCTAACTTTCAGTTCCGGCATCTCCATCTCCCCACCACCGTCCACAGCTGTGGTAGTGAAAGCGGTCAACAGCAGCGGTTCACTCCACCTTCGTTTAGTCAAATACCTTCACTTTCCTCTACATTTCTGTGCCAAGGTGAGACCCGTTGTCATTGCTTTCCTTAGCCGTCTGCCTGGTTACTGGCGAGGCGAGCTGACTGGTCATTTAATGAATCCTTTTGCGTTAGCTCATTAGCTCGATGTTAGCTTAGCAGGCTAACGTTAAACGGTCACACCCATGAAATAGCCACAGCTATCGAAACAAATCATACTTCAGTATTTGCCGTCCTTTTTTGCGCTATATATATCCATTGTGCATATACATTGTGTGCTAACTTGTGAGAGTTGGTTTTAAATTGCTGTGACGGTTGGCTTGCTGGCTAAGGTTTCACCGGCCTGCTGTTTTGACGAGTAACGTTAGGCTAAAGTAACATTAACGTTAGCGTAATTGTACTAACAGTTAGATAGCTACTCAAGTATTAATTTACGAAAACTTAACTATTTTCTGTCAGAATAAGCTTCATACTGACCTTATCTCGTTTTAGTGTTGGTGTAAGTTCACCAGGGCTGTATTAACGTTACATCCGTAGACATCTCTTTTTTTCTTCTCACAGTTGTCATTTTGCCATAATACTCTGAGGTTATAAGAATAAGTATTTATTTGAGTTGTCAGTAGGTTAGCTGCCTAACGTTTTGACATCCCGGACATCAACTAACCTGTGCTAATAGCATGCAGTGACTGTTAAAGTAAAGGTATTGACGTGTGCTGTTCTTTGCAGTGAACTTGAAGACCAAACAAAATGACAGACTCAAAGTATTTCACCACAAACAAAAAAGGTAGGACATAACCTTATATTGACCCCATAAATGCACATTTGAAGCTCTTCAAATTCTTCTAATCATAGATTTCATGGTATTTAATTCTCATAAGTGTTATGTGTTTTCACATGTTATTTCTTACAGGAGAGATATTTGAACTGAAAGCAGAGCTGAACAATGAGAAAAAGGAGAAAAGGAAGGAAGCAGTGAAGAAGGTCATTGCTGCCATGACAGTAGGCAAGGATGTCAGGTACGATTGTTTATTGGACGCTGTTATTTTAACACAGGCCAAGGGTTGTATTAACTGCAGTAAGGTTCTGCATTCTGTAAAACATTTGCTGTGTGTGTGCATTATGTAAGGCAGAAACTGGAGGGTGTTTCACAAAGCAGAATTGTCCAGTAAGCTGAATAACTTAAGCCAAAAACTGAGAGTTGTCTAATAAAAATGTTTCTAAGCTCTTCTCCTACTGGATAGGCATGTTTTTTTTTTTTAGTCTAAGCTAACTGAGAAATCTTGCTTTGTGAAATACTCCCCTGATTTGTCTAATGGACAAACAATAACAAAACAGAGTTGAAATGACTACATTTTTCTTTCATCGTACTGCCACTTTACTGATTAGATCAGCAATCTAATCAGCAAACTGGAGAAATGTGTGATGATGTAGCTGGTGGTGGTGGCCATGATGGTCATAATGATAATGATGTGTAAGCTACATCTTTCTTTCCTCTCTAGCTCCTTGTTTCCTGATGTGGTCAACTGCATGCAGACTGATAACCTGGAGCTGAAGAAACTGGTCTATCTTTATCTGATGAACTACGCCAAGAGTCAGCCTGACATGGCCATTATGGCAGTGAACAGTTTTGTCAAGGCAAGTGCTTCTGTTAGTATAAAAGAGGAAACACTGAATTGTATTTATTCTGTTTCCTAAGTATTCACAAAACGACATTTTTGCTTTTATATCTCAGAAATCATGTATAACATGGGTTGTGTTGAGAAATCCTAAGGCACTCAATTTCAAAATCCTTTCTATTTGAGACATAGAGAACGACATGATGTAAAAGCCATTACTTCATGCTTTAAGTTGTGTCTGTCACAATTATTACATAATTGTCTCATTACAATACTTTGAGCTAATCACAATTATTTTCCATAGTCATAAGCTTTCACAATCACAACAAACAGAATGTGATTTGAGTATGTTTTAATCCATGGGGTTGGGGCAAGTACATGTAAGGAAATGAAAGCAAAAATGCATGTATTGCGACATGTCATTGATTTTATGAAAAAAACAGTTATAACTTCTGACTTGGTGCCCTAAGGCATTTAGATGGCAGCAGTGAGTAATATTTGTTAATTTGAACTTGAACAGAGCTGTGTCTGTTGTCAGTTGGACGGTATTAAGTATTAGCAACTGGAAAGCCTGATAGCTAATCACCCAGTTTGGCTTCTTAAGTTTATATTTTAATAGTTGCATAAAATAAGCAAAAAAAAAAGAAATTAAATTCTTAATATTATATTTAGTTTTTATGACAGTTAATTGTCAGCTGTAATTTCACGATTGTGGCAGGTCTACTTGAGGCATGTAAAGCCTTGTAGCATTCTGTGGTATATTACTTTATAGAAATATATGTGGGAAATGTATCCCCTCCATGTAGTACCTGAGAGCTCTTCTTCTCTCCTCCTTCAGGACTGTGAGGACCCTAATCCCCTCATTCGAGCGCTGGCTGTGCGCACAATGGGCTGCATCCGCGTGGATAAGATCACAGAGTATCTGTGTGAGCCTCTAAGGAAATGCCTGAAGGATGAGGATCCCTATGTGAGGAAGACAGCTGCCGTGTGTGTCGCCAAGCTGCATGACATCAACGCTCAGATGGTAGAGGACCAGGGCTTCCTGGATTCCCTCAGGGACCTCATCGCTGACTCCAATCCCATGGTTCGTAGCTTTGAAAGGCTGAATGAAAGGCTTGAGTAGAAGCTTGTCCGTCAAGTCAAGTTGTGTCTGAGGTACAAGTTGGCAGAAGGAAGTGTTTTTAATTTAGCTCTGGGAGGCGCTATTGATATGATTTTTTTTTTCTGGCCTGATAAGCATATCCTTACATTTGCATTAGTAGACACCCTTGACGAGAGCTACTTACAAAAGTGCTTTGTTGTCTACTTAGAATATATCTTTTAGCTAGTGTCCAACATTGCCCTTGAGCTAAAATGCTGGTAGAATCAGGAACACAGACATTATAAGAATTAAAAACAAAAATAAAGATATTTGAAGACACTAAGGGACTCTGTTTAGACAGCCAGGGCAAATTCATTACACCACCTGGGCATGAGTACAGAGAAGTGCATCTTAAGAAATGCTGGGTCAGACCGAGCCATACTTGAGGCTCAAAGAGGCCCGAGGTATGGTGAAGAATTTGACTGTTGCTATCAGGGAAGGGAGGCGCTGGTCAGTTTTTGATTTTATAGGCAGACATCAGCGTTTGAAATTGAATATGGTGAGCTACAGGATGTCAATAAAAAAAAGCATAACACAATATATTAAAAGTGCCACAATCTTAGTATATGTTATATTTTATTGTTGTTTTCTGTATATTAAATTCAGCAAATAAACAGTAATTGTGCATAGAAATGTGAAGAAATTTGTTCCAGTAAGATAATGTTTACTTGTTTTTACTTTTATAATCAACAAAATGTGTAATTTGACCAGGGGTGCCCAAACCTTTGTATATGATTACATCATTATTCAGATTAACTGACCATTAAACAGTTACATTTGGCAGCAGCATTGAATGTACTCTGTATGTAGGGTGTTTTTCTGCCTTTTACTTATTTTTGTAATTCATGACTTCTAGCATATGTTTGAGGTGTTGCAAAACATGCAAGTGCAAGCCACGTCTGTGAGATGTACAGCATCCAGTGATGAATTCATGTATTTATGTAAAATATTCTTCTCTTTCTTTCATGCTCTCTCTCTCTTGCTCTTTCTCTCCAGGTTGTGGCCAATGCGGTGGCAGCCCTGTCTGAGATCAGTGAGTCTCACCCCAACAGTAATCTCCTGGACCTGAACCCCCAAAACATCAACAAGCTGCTGACAGCCCTGAATGAATGCACAGAGTGGGGCCAGATCTTCATCCTAGACTGCTTGTCCAACTACAATCCCAAAGACGAGCGTGAAGCCCAGAGGTATGGCACCAAATGGAGTTAGCTTTTTCTGAGGGGAGCTGGATTAATTTGAAATCCAAAATCTGAAAAGAATGAATGTGGAAATATTTCAGACAAAATGACACATTTGTCTAGTGCTTGTTGTTCTGTAGGCCAGTTGGAAGTATTTTACACATGCACCTAAAATACAAAGAAAAATCATCCAAATGATCAGGTACAGAATGTTAACGCCATGCAATATATGAAATCTTCTGTATTAAAAATTGTTTTATTCAGTATTCATTTGTAACATATGCTGTTTAATAAGGAAGGGAGCCATGTGCTTTTGCATATTTTCTTTTATTTTTATTATTATTATTTTTTTTTTGCATAAAGATCCCACACTTTATAAACGGTCTGTATCCCGAAAATGATAAAGCTACAGAATTAAAATTTCTAGTAATTTCTTCTCACAGATTAAAGACTGAACCCATCTAGTACAGCATGATATCCAGAAAAGATAGCAACAAGAATTTTGGCCTCCTGTTTTTCGGTTGTCTAAAAGCTTTTGTCTTCAGTTACTCCTTGTGTTATTGTCTTGTCTATATTATGAAAAGCAAACTTTATCAGATGTGTATTTTTGCCATTCCTGTCCTAGCAGTTGTTTGAATTTCCTCTTCTTCATTTCTTTTTTTCTCATAGCATCTGTGAGCGTGTAACCCCACGTCTCTCCCATGCCAACTCAGCTGTGGTGCTGTCGGCTGTAAAGGTCCTGATGAAATTCCTGGAACTGCTTCCTAAAGACTCGGACTACTATAACACTCTGCTGAAGAAGCTCTCTCCTCCTCTGGTCACGCTGCTCTCTGGAGAACCTGAGGTCCAATATGTGGCACTGAGGAACATCAACCTTATTGTGCAGAAGAGGTCAGAATCACAGCTTTACTCACCAACGTATACACATGTTTGAACACCCCGGTCAAATTACATAGTTTGTTAATTTTCTAAGTGAAAATAAGTTAACACTCCTCTACAGAAAACACACATCAAGATGACATTTTTGCGGTAATAGTTATTGCACAATTTCTGTTTATTTGCTGATTTTTTTAAGGAAAAATAAGCATTTGTTTTAGCAAATAAACAGTAATTGTGCATTAAAATGTACAGTATTATGTTCACTGTAGAGGATATGTCAACTTATTTTCTCTTAGAACTCAACAAAGAATTTAACCAGGGAGCCCAAACTTCTGCATGCACCTGTACGTATACATACAAACCTGTTTAGTGTTGCTAAAGATCACTATTAGTTTGCTGTTATCTTTCTTTTTAGTGTTTTTTTGTATTCTAGAAGTAGGTAATTTACTATATAACTATATTTTCTGAAATGAACAGATTGATGTCAAATAGTTATGCCTACGTTGTTAAGATATTTTGACTGACAGTCATTAGACAGTGCTAGCACTAGATGGCAGTATGTCTCTTCAGCTCCCATTTTTTTCTAGAGACAGTTCACTTTACCACAAACATTGACAGTACAAAATTCTATAGGGTCATATCACAGTTTAATGAATTCCAGACAGAGTGTGTGTTGAACGTGTGTGTGTGTGTGTGTGTGTGTGTGTGTGTGTGTGTCAAATGTGTTGAATCAGTGATGGTAGAGCAGAGTAAACCCCTAAATTGTACAGCACCATACATTTTAGATGTGGAATTGACTGCCACAGAAACTTGGACAGGTTGCTGACCTTTAAAACTATGTAAATATGTGTTTATTTCCTTGCTCTGCTGCCAGGCCTGAAATCCTGAAGCAAGAAATCAAGGTGTTCTTTGTCAAGTACAATGATCCTATCTATGTCAAGCTGGAGAAACTGGACATCATGATCCGGCTGGCCTCTCAGGCCAACATTGCCCAGGTACAATGACCTTAAACACTCATTGTTATTGTACTCCAATTTTATATTCATGACAAACTCTGAAATGTCAGATATGACAAATCTTTTGTGAAAGCAGTAGTGTCTGATTGATATGAACATTTTTTTGGCTTGTACTGATTTTAAGGAACTAAAATTTCTGATAATACAGATTACTCATATTGCTGAAGGCAAATAAATATCTTTATATTTTACCTTTTTAATTTTATACTCCAGTTGCTTTTGTGTAAACAGTGCTTAACTGAGACAAATGATTGGCAGTTTTCAATTTTCACACTTCTTAAAGTGCATACAGAAACATGAATATGCTACAGAAGCTCGAAAATTTGTAAATAATATAAATACGGTTGCTGTGGTTGCTGTTAATTACAGTGGATAAATTGGTCGGTCCTTAGAACACGAGAGTTTTGATAAAGGACCTGACCATATCATCAAAGATGGCTGCAAATATTGCATCAGCCATGGTTTATATAAGTGACTAATTGTGAAATCTGATTAGGCATATCTTAAAGAGCTGGCAAATGCATGCATAATAGCAAAGAATATCTTGGTCCAGTATTTTCTGTCCCTGATTCAGATTCCATTTCAAGTCTGAAACAATATTTGTACATTAAAGGGCAGTTCCACTGATTATTCAAAATGTTTTTATAATGAAATTAAGAAATAAACAGTCATTCAGATTTGATGTGAAATACACTGTTCTAGAGTAACCTACTGAGTCAGCATTGTTCACAGTGATGGTGGAAGGATCCAGACATCTGGCCTCTAAAAGCTGGCCCACAAAAAGTTATTGCACAAAATGGTTACGAAGTCACTGCCTGATACTGTAGACATTGGGGTGTCGGAAGGCAGAATAGTCACAAAGATTTCCACTATTTTACCTTTATCAACATTACATATTTAAACTTAGAAGACGTGTTTTGCTTTGAATAGTGAATAAAATGGCTATATTTGCATATTAAGCATTGCAACCCCTGATTCTTGTAACCACCACTGTAAAAAAAATTACTAAAAGTCTGAGTAGATATGTTTCTCACACACTCTCACATCAATTCACATGTTTATATCTCAGTGTTTGAAATATACAGAAATTTAGAAAATTGGGTGGAATTCCCTTTTTAAATTTATTAAAACTGAAACAAAAGCTACGTCAGTGTCTTTAAAATGCCACAGTAAAATTTTAAGTAGGGGCTTTGAGTGAGTGTTTTTTGACCTCCTTTGTTTTGTATAGTTCAGTATTGACTTGAGTGTAGAGTATTGATCCAATCTGATGGATAGTTTGGTTAAAATGCTGAACTAAAATCACTAAAGATTTTCAGTGGCTCAGATTAGGACAGCTCCACTAGCAGCTGTAATTGCTGTAATGTTCTTTTTGTTTTCAGTGTCATTCATTATTATTGTTTCTGTATAACCACAGCTTGCATGAGGCATTCTCCTATCCATTACAACGCTTGGAACAGTGCCCACAAGGAGCCTGTGTTACAGCATTATTGTGGTCTGTTCAGTGGCTGCCAGGGAATCATTGTGTTGAACAGTGTGAGCATGCTCAGACAAGCCCAGTGTCCATAGAGTAATACTTAAATCTCCTGCTGGCACTGCCAAGAAACTGTAAATATTTTCCTCCTCTGACAAAGCCCTGTCTCTTGCCTTATGGTGTCTGTTTGCTAGCAAGTAAGCTTGGATTTCACTTTTGTGTTCTCGCCTCTGTGGAGCTTACATGAAGAACACAGCGCTATGCTCAGTCAGTGCTATGAAATACTATGAAAGGTGAATATGCTGTTGGATGTCAAAAAATCCAGAACACCACTTTGTATGGGTGTAAAATGATTTTATAAGAACACCTTAGGAAATGAGTCAGTTTCTCACGAAGTTCTAAATTTCACTCCAATTAGATTGTATGATTTTGGTCTAACTCTAACTCTAAAACTTTTTTACATTTTAAAAAATACACTGAATTTGATTGGAGGAACTATTTACACAGTAGGGGAATATTAACAAGAAAAACAATACATTAAGTTCTTTTTTAATTGATTAGAAAATTCCAAAATTGCTACAACTGGGCTGATACGTTTTTGCACCCCACAAATTTAGTTTTTCTTTTTGTTTTATAATAGTCTTTGCCAATTTACAACAGTTACTGTCTCACGGGGCAAAACTCTGTCTCTGCAGGTGCATTAAAAAGGTTGTGTTTTATTCCCAGGTTCTGGCTGAGCTGAAAGAATATGCCACCGAAGTGGACGTGGATTTTGTCCGCAAGGCAGTCCGAGCTATCGGCCGCTGCGCCATCAAAGTGGAGGTTCGCTGCTTTAATGCTATAAAACGGCCCTTAGGGGCTTTTCCATTATCACTGACCTACTTAAAACTCCAGATTTAGTAAAGCTTTTAGCACCTGTAATTTACTGCTGAAATGTAGCTATTAGTCATCACTGATCATAGCAATTTAGTTTGTAACATACCCACCACAGGATAGAATGCATCATCCCTGCGTAGTTGTTTAGCTCTCTCTCTCTCTCTCTCTCTCTCTCTCCATAGCAATCAGCTGAGCGCTGTGTAAGCACACTATTGGACCTCATCCAGACAAAGGTGAACTATGTGGTTCAAGAGGCCATCGTGGTGATTAGGGACATCTTCCGCAAATACCCTAACAAGTCAGTGGTGGAATATAGTTGAATATTATTATAATTGATTATAATGAATTCTAACATCTCAAAATTAATGCAGTATTGACAAATGAACACTATTAAATCAATGAATCACGATGCAACAGTGCATTTTTGCATCCCATTGGACAGTGATACATTACTCTACGTCATTCTTTTCCATCTTTTGTGAATGTGTAAATAAATTTGCATTTATTATTCACATACTAACACATTGTTGAACATTTTCTATGGTCGCACTGTATATGCATTTTCAGACATATTAGCGCTTAATTCTGTTAAAGGCATCGATCTGTTTATTCAAAACCTCTTTCTCTCTCTTGCGTAGATACGAGAGCATCATCGCCACTCTGTGTGAGAACCTGGACTCTCTGGATGAGCCAGACGCTCGCGCTGCCATGATCTGGATTGTGGGTGAATATGCAGAGAGAATCGACAACGCTGACGAGCTTCTGGAGAGTTTCCTGGAGGGCTTCCATGACGAGAGCACTCAGGTCAGTTGCTGTGCTCTGAGTAAAAATTTCACATGTGGATTAGACTGTTAGATGTTTAAAGAGTCATGTACTTGAGGTTTACAACCTTATCGCTGATTGTTTTTGTTACTGAAGATGTGGTCTTTTAAAAGTAAATGACACCTTTTCATGTTATATATATATATATATTTAAAGGGCCCATATCATGAAAAAAAAACATTTTCTTCACTTCTTTATTTTTTAAATAAGAGTTTGATGTATGTACATTTTGTTCAAGGTTCATGTACTGGTCACTTCCCAGTGTATATATATCAAATTTAAGCTGTAAAAACAGCCCATTTTAAATTTCACTATTTGGTGTGATGTCACATGTTGACGTGCCCACCTATTCATCCAGCAGTCATTTAGCCCCACCCATTAATGTTGAAGCTGTAAGGCAGCAAATCAGAGGTCATTCATAGATATTAGTATTAAAGCCAGTTGCAAGAGCCTGTTTAATTTAAGAGAGGTTAGAAAACGGTCAAGTAAGAGTTTTGGCGGTACATAAGACCACACAAATGTGTGGTTATTTATTTACACAAAAAATGAACCTCAAAAATCCAAAAAAATGCAGGCCTTTTAATAATTTTACCATTGTGTCCGATAAATGAATATCATTTTTTTACTGTTGCAGTGATTAATCTGCAAAGTTTAATAGTCAGCATCAATTATGAAATTTTTTGAAAAATTTTTCTGTCTTTGCCTCTACTATTGTTACCTCTCTTTAATCTTCATACAGTACATGAGGTCATTGCGACAGATTGTAATGAACTCTTAAGTGTAGGGGCAATATGGCTTCTGGTATTTTGATGCACCTTAAAAGAAGAAATTGCTTGTTGCACAGATAGAGAGAGGAGAGGAACCGGAAAAAGCATAATAGTATATTATAGTCAAATAATCATAATTAGTTGCAGTCGTTGGCATCCTAAATAACTCAATATAGGTTTTATGCTCTAAAAATAGAAATACAGTGAACAATACACATATATTGGTTCTGAAGCTGAGCTATATGCTTGTAGGTTCAACTGACCCTGCTGACTGCCATAGTGAAGCTATTCCTGAAGAAGCCCTCCGAGACACAGGAGCTGGTACAGCAAGTGCTCAGTCTGGCAACACAGGTGAGACATTCATTGTATGATTATTTTCCTCCTCCAGAAGGCTCCTGCTTGCTGTTATCATTTACTCATTATGCTTGCGTTATGGATACTTCATTGAACAGCCTGCCTTCACCTGCACTGCAATGACGTGGTTTATTACCTAATACCTCATCATTAGAACATTCAGTCATCATCAGCTTACCTCTCACTCTGCATCAGATTCAGTTTAACCTTATTCATAGCAGTAACAGTTGAAATGAAGACATCTTGGTTCATCTTCATTCAGTTCTTCTCTCCCTCCACAGGACTCCGATAACCCTGATTTGCGTGACCGTGGTTACATCTACTGGCGTCTGCTCTCCACTGATCCGGTGACTGCCAAAGAAGTGGTTCTCTCTGAGAAACCTCTGATCTCAGAGGAGACAGACTTGATCGAGCCCACCCTGCTGGATGAGCTCATCTGCCACATCGGTTCACTGGCCTCTGTCTACCACAAACCCCCAAATGCCTTTGTGGAGGGCAGCCATGGCATCCACCGCAAGCACCTGCCCATCCAGCACGGCAGGTACTGAGAGCGGGAGGGTTTTTGTGCGTAGGATTTGAACGGGAATTGAAGATGATTAATTTAAGGACTGCAATAATTAGTTAACAAAACCAGCAACTTTGATTATGGATTTTTATGATTTTTTGTATTGGTATATTATATTACTTTGCTATAGAGTTTACTGCTCTATAATGCTACATAATGTTTATGACACATGGGCTTTTTTAGATTGCAATAGACTACAGGGGTGCTACAGCTTCTATTGTTTTGTCTTTTGTTGCTGCAGTACCCCTTATTATTTTTGGTAAAATTGAAAGTCGCCCTGTAAAGCTTGAAACCAGTCAGATTTGGTGTGGGATTTTTGGACGATGTCACATATTTGTGTTACGCATAATACAGACTCAAAAAGAAGGTTCAGCATGATGTTAAGGTCTCAAATGCAAAATTACAATTACCCATATACTGTTGAAGATATGATGACAATAGTAGATAATTGACTTACAAGATATGTCATTAGGAGTTCCTTGAATACTCCGTGTTCAGAATCATCATATTTTATCTGCCTGGGTAAGGGGTTGGATATTACGAAATCATTTTCTGCATGTTTCCACCAGAGAGGTCTCCAAATCTCCTAAACAACACTAAAAATTTGCATTTTTTTTTTTATTTTTTCCAACAGTCTGAAAGAAAGAAATTTAATTTTCTGTGGATGATTTTCTTTTATGATTCTGATGTTGGACTGATCTGGAAGTAAACAAATTGAATCTTCTGGTGTCAGCTAACAGGAACAAAGAAAGCCTTGACAGATAACAGCTACATTGTCATTCCCTGAGTGTGAACAATGCCTGATTGATTTGTCTGTTTGGTTGTTTATACCATGTTCAGACATTCCCATCTCATGCCGTGTCCTTTTCCATAGCATTGACACTGGAGAGAGCCCGATCAGCGCCGGCCCAGCAGCCCCCATCGACCAGCCCCAGGTTATCCCATCTCAGGGTGATCTTCTGGGTGATCTGCTCAACCTGGACCTGGGCCCTCCAGTCAACGTTCCCCAAGTGTCCTCCATGCAGATGGGTGCTGTGGACCTTCTAGGAGGAGGCCTAGACAGTCTGGTGAGCTCCCTGTTTCAAACAGCATTATCTTTTCAAAAGAGATCATTTTTGAAGGTTGAGTTTACTGATCTGCAATATAAGATTACTGAGATTATTAGACTGCGGTGTGTTCATAGTGATTCGCAAACAAATCAAATTTAGGGTTTGTTCACACTTGGCAGGTTTGGTTTGATTAAAACGAACCCTAGTGTGACCGTTCTATTAGTGTGGTACATTAGAACAGTATTTCTCAACCCTGATCCTGGAGGCC